GCTCTCCCACCTGCTGCCTGAGAGATTCCACCAGCAGGCACCTTTCATATGTCAAACTGAACCAGATACACACTGAGATTTACCCAGGCAAAGGGGAATGTGATGTCTGTGGTGGCAGAGCAGGGACTGTCGGCACCTGCAGGTGTTTCCTTATCTTAGGAACACTCCTGTGTCATGGAGTATTGGAGAAGTGAAAAATGGGGTGGTGCTGAGGGAGTGGAGGGACTGGTGAAGAATGACTCTCTTGACTGTCTGGCTTGGGCACTGAGTGGATTAATAGGCTATTTCATTTCCAGGCATTTGAAATGGTGACCGGCGAGTGCCTTTTTGAACCCCAGGCCGGGAAATATTTCTCCAGAGATGATGGTAGGATTCTGTCATCTTCAGTGACTTCATTGATGAAAGGATCATAAAATCTAAATATCCAGCTTCTTGTTTTCCCCCATTCTCTTTCTCTCTCTCTCTCTCTAGATCATGTTGCTCGTATCATTGAACTCCTGGGAAGAATTCCTCCTAAAATTATTTTCTCCTGGAAACAGTCGTCAAAATTCTTCAGCAGACAAGGTGAAAATAGGAGCTGGGGAGTTATCCAGAAAGGCATAGGCACTGCTGGAGCACCCATGGGGAAAAAATGGTGGGTGCTGAGCACCCACCAGCAGCCCCCCTATCAGCACCTCCCCCTCCCCCCCAGTGCCTCCTGCCCAACAGCAGGCCCCGCCAATCAGCGCTTCTCTCTCCTGCCCACCGCAATCAGCTGTTCCGCGGCGTGCAGGAGGCTGGGGGGGGAGGGGAGGAGCGAGGATGCGGCACACTCGGGGGAGGGGGCGGAACGGGGCGGGAAGGGGCGGAGCGGGGGTGGGAAGATGCAGGGCGGGGCAGGGGTGTGGCCTTGGGGGAAGGGGTGGAGTGAGGGCAGGGCCTGGGGCAGAACCGGGGGGTCAAGCACCCCCCAGCACAATGGAAAGTCGCCACCTGTGCAGAAAGGTGCAGATCTCTGACCCACCCCTAAATAACTTGCTCTTTGAAAAACAAACAAAAAGCTATCTTAAGCAAAGCTCTCTGTAAGCAGGGAGGAGAGCTGAAGACTCCATGAAGTCCTCTAGGACCTTGCTATGCCAACCTATTGACTTGAGAGTTACTCAGGAGATGGATGCCAGTACAAAATTCTAAAGTTGGTAGGAGTTTCTTAGTCAGTGAGGACTAAGAAATATCCCCAAAGGACCTAGATAGAGAGTAGAAACGTGGGATGAAAATAACTAAATGAGAGTCAAGCTGGAAGAAGCCTGAAATTCGGGTATTATGCTGACAGAGGACAAGCACATTCTCTTCCCAACTCCGCCGCCTTTGCCTCCAGCCGTCTGTCTAAAATGTGCATCTCCTCTCTTTGAATCTCTTTGCTGCCTCTCCCTTGGCTCATCAAGTTTAAACATTTTGTCCTTGACTCCAAGACCCTACCTAGCACTCTCCCTCCCCACTTTCCCACTTAGTCTCTTACTATGTTCCTTTCTCCACTCAGCCAGTGAAACAGCCTCAAACAGGGATTTCCCCACCTCACCCCCCGAATTTCCCCAACACCCCCCCCCCATTTTTGTGAACTAGTTACATGCAGTGTTGCCAGTTTAGTGATTGTTTGGAAATTTGAATTGAAATTGAAACATTAATACATACTTTAAAAGTATATACAGTGTATGATAAAATACGTGTATCTGAAAAAGTATAATAGATTTGAAAAGTATGAACATAGACTAGCTTCCTTATACAGCTGTTGTTTTTTATGACAATGTCAGTGCATTCATTTCGGGGACATTGGCCAACCTAATAAATTCAAATTATGATTTGTAAGCAAAGTCTAAATGAGCTCTCCC